GCCTCCGTGCAGGTAAGTTGAAAACAGAAAACCCACTGTTTCGCCCCAAAATTTGCCCTCCCGCCCCATCCCATCCTGCCTTCCCTCCCCGTTCCCCATGTCCCCAACCGGAGCAAAAAGAAGGGCTGGGGGGGTGGCTTTTGGATGAATGGATGGAGATTCTCCCGTGGCTTCTTGTAGGGGTGTGTGTTGGGGGAGGAGAACGAGGAGTGTGTCCCCCCACCAGTGTCTCTCCGTGTCCCCAGAGCGGGGCTGGTCCCAGGGGTGCTCAGACCTCACCCGCTCTGCTCCCCAGGGTGACTGGGTCTGGCTGAAGAAGTTCCCTGGAGACCAGCACAGTGAGGTGAAACCAGCCACCAAACTGGCCTTCTGCAAGGTGAGGGGGTCTCGGGGACACCGCTGGGTCATGGGGGACAATACTGGGTCATGGGGACAACGCTGGGCCATGGGGGACAATGCTGGGTCATAGGGGACAACGTGGGACCACAGGAGGCCATGGGGGTCAACATCGGGCCATGATAGGACAATGTCAAGCCATGGGGGGACAATTCTGGACCATGCTGGGACAAGGCCAGGCCATAAGGGGACAACACCAGGCTCCAGGGACAATGCCGGGCCCCGTCCCACATGTCCTCTGGGCCGGTACAGCTGCGTGACCTGCGCCATGAGAACGTCAACCTCTTCCTGGGCTTCTTCCACGACTGCGGCATCTTCGCCATCGTCTCGGAGCATTGCTCCCGCGGCAGCCTCGAGGACCTGCTCCGTAACGAGGACATGAAGCTCGACTGGATGTTCAAGTCCTCCCTCCTCATCGACCTCATCAAGGTGACGGCAGAGTCGGGGGGGATGCGGTGGGGACTGTGGTGGCCATGGGAGTGGAGGTGGCTGTGGTGGTGCTGGTGACCATGGCGATGGCCTTGGTGGTGGCCCTGGTGGTGGCTCTCATGGTGGCCATGGTGACGGTGGTAGCCATGGTGGTAACTCTGATGGTGACCACGGTGGCCATTGCGGTGACAGCCACTGGGTCGTATCTGTGGCGGTGGCTGCGGTGGTGCAGGGGCAATGCCGTGGCAGTGGCTATGATGGTGATCGTGGTGGTGGTGGCAGCCATGGCAGTAGCCATGTTGAT